GCTCGGAGCTCGTCTGCCTGGCTGTGTGTTTCCTGGACGGGGCCGCCTGTGGAGCTGGTTGACAGTTGCCTTTTGTATCTATGCTTCTTTTCTATGTGTGCTTCTAACAGCCAGGCTTTTATGCTTGTTATTAGTGAAATAAATGTATAAAGACACATTATAGGTCTAAAACCTGACCTATAAATACTATATATGACATTTATAAATAAATATGTGACAACAGATTGTAAGGCTGAAGTAAATCACTCATCAGTGTTTTTAGGTCCTACAATCATCATCATGTTCGCTGCGGCTCCTCCGCCGTTCTTCTTTGCCTTTTTTTTTGCTGCTTAGTGGTGCCGTCCAACAGAGCTGTGCCCTAAAGGTTCTGCCACTGGATCAGAACCGCTTTCACACTCCTAGCTGATCATTGTGAGGGAACATCAGAACCTTTCAGAGAGATCAGAACAATAACTGGGTCAGGAAGAATCCAACTTCCTTCCTGTGACATCACTATTCAGCATAAAGCATCCTGGTTCTGTAGTCCAGTCCTCAGAGTTCCCGGTCCAATAGAACCCGATGAGAACCTGGCCCCATGCAGCGGTACCGTATGCTCCCTCAGTGTTTGCTCTCTGACCGCAGGGTATGGAACCAGATTCCTTCCTGACGTTATCCAGATCAGATCCAGATTGTCCAGCAGGGGGAGCTCACAGCTCTCTGATTGGCTGGCTGCCGTCTGAGGCGTGTTGGCGTTTGGTTGTCAATAAAGTTTTTAAATCAAATCAAAGAAAACCAGCGAGGAGGAGGGAGGGGGTGGTGGAGGGGGCGGGGCTACAGGTACTTGCCTGATTGGTTTAATTCACATCCGTTACTGACCTGAAATCAGTGAAGAGACGGTGAGAACAAAGTTTACCCTGACTGGCGACCGGCAGCTCCTCTGCCTTTATCACCTGCTTCCCTTTCAGCACCTGACATGATGAGGATGGCGAGGATGAAGGGGTTTCCTACCTGGGCGTCGATTATTTTCTGCTTGGCTTCGATCACCGCCTGCATCTCTGCGTGGTCCCTCTTCAGCTCCTCCTCCACCGCCATCAGCCTGCAGGAACAGAACCGCTGTGAGGTTCTGGGGTCACCCAGGTTCAGGTGGCGCTCAGCGGAGAGCCTACCTGCAGATGATGCTCTTCATCTGGCCGTCCTTCTCCTCCTGCTGCCTCCTCAGCCGCTCCTCGCTGTCCTCCAGCCGGTTCTTGTACTCCATCAGGAGCTTCTGCATCTGCTGCTCCTGAGCCAGCAGCCGCCGCTCGTACTCCTCCAGCCGCCGCCCGGACGCCCGCAGCCGCTCCTTCAGGCGGGAGATCTCCAGCTCGTACTGCAGAGGGATGGGAGATGGATCCGCTTTAAAACCGTCTCAGCGGCGGACAAAGACCCGGTTCTGATGCTCGGTACCTTCTCCGTGTTCCGGCCCTCCTCTCTGCTGGGTTCTCCTCCCGCCTCCTCCTCCTCGTACTGGCCGTTGTTCAGGACCCACGCCGCGGTCCTCTCCACCGGGGACATGGCCACCGCCTCCACTGGCGTTCCCACCTGCAGGCAGAGAGACGTCGTCACAGGCCTGCCTGAACCAATCAGGGAGCAGCGCTGCAGAGCCCTGCTTACCTGTGGCTGTTTAGCTGCGGCCCTAGAGGGCGGAGCCACGGTCTCCATGGCGCCTGTGGACGGCTGGCGGGTGGAGGGTGTGGGCTCAGTGTTGGCGCTGCTGCTGCTCCGTAGCGAGGCGCTCTGCGGCTGAGAGCGAGGCGTCCTGGCCCCGCCCCCTCCTCTGCTCTGCTGCTCCACCTTGATGATGTGGGCGGTGCCCGCGGTGGTGCTCTGGCGGGGGATGGCCACCGCCGTGGCTGCAGCCAGCGGCAGGTCTTGCGGCGGATGGCGGCGCGGCGTGGGGCAGTCCTCGCTCTGCGTGCTCCGCCTGCTGCCCACCTCGTCCAGACTGCTGTTGGACGCCAGGTGACCTTTGCCCCCCACCTGGCTGCCGAAGTCGTCCGAGTTGCTGTGGCTGTTGTGCGAGCTCTCCGTGCTCAGGTTCTCGGAGCTGGAGTCGTGCCTCAGCGACTGGGCGGAGCGGGTGGACAGGCTGTGGGCCGGGTTGCTCAGCTGGTACACGGGGTTCTGGAAGGACAGCGCCTGCAGCAGACGCTGCTCTCTGACCGAGGGGGGCAGGGGCCGCCTCGCCTGCGGCGCACTCTGCGGCTGACCGTCTCTGGGCGGGGCTTTGGACTGGTGCGGCGCCGGCTGGGGCGTCACCGGGTTGGAGTGGGGGTAAGTCAAAGGGGAGGGGCCGTGCCCGATAGACGCCTGCGAGCCCACCCTGCTGAGGCGAGGCGGGGCTTCGTGGGGCGTCGGGGGCCCCACTGGACCATGAAGGCTCTGAGAGTCCTGGAGGTCCACCAGAGAGACGCTGCGACCGTTCGGCAGCAGGCCGTCCTGATCAGAGAAACTGGCAGGAAGCTGCTGAGCCAGCAGGGGGCGCTGACTCCGACCGTAACCCTCCAGCAGCTCGCCGGCTGGAGACGGAAGGCTGCGGACGTCGCTGTGGCTGCAGGGGGGGTCACAGCAACACAGAAGTTAGAGAAGTAAACAACCATCAGAGAAAAACTAAAATATGATATGAAACCAATGAAAACATTTCTAAAGATAAACTGGCCTTAAACGCATGAACGGCTGATTGCAGTCTGAGGAAACGGAACGCCATCAGAACAAACTGCAGGTTTATTTAGTAAAAGGAACTTGGCCTGAATTATAGAGACACTTCCTGAATATTTTCTCTCAACAAGGGAGGGGAGATCAGGGGAAATAAAAGCAAGATGGCCGTCTAAATAAACGATGCCAGTGGTGACCAGACTCCATCATGGGGAGATGGAAGACACTAGTGAGTAAAGCGTGAAAACAAAGACCTCCATGATAACCAGGAGGATCATCAGGGATAAAACCCAAACATTTATATTATTATATATTTATATTCTGCTTCAATCGGAGGGCTTCATCAACTTTTACATTGAAATGAATTTAGGCTTAAAAAGAAACGTTTAAGATGAGCTTTAATCATTAAATTACACGGAAAAGCTGCTGGTAGCTGTTCACTGCATTTGCAGCAGAATATGAGGCAGCATCATCAGCATAGAAAGAAAATGGACCTTTAGCTTTTAATCTAAACAGTTAATAAATGTTAAAAAAGAAGGGGCCTTGGACTGAACCGTGTGGAACAACCCTGGATTCTGGAAGATGGGGAAGACAGAGCGTCCACCAGCTCACTATCACCATTACCGGTGGTTGTTTAACCATCAAAATTTATCACCATTTCCTGATCAACTGTATAAAAGGATCCTGGAGTTGAGGAGGAAGCTGCAAGAGAATATTTAAGTTTATTTTACGTCCTCAGACGGAGAGCTAGAGCTAGATACATACATTTATACTCCCAATACACACAGTCTCCCCTGGAACGCTCCCATTCCTACATAAAGAACTTTCTCTCGCACAAACATTTGGTTATTCCCAAGAAAAAAACACTTCAATTCATTAAGGACATAAATATCAGCCAGATAAACACTCATTATCTCTCATGACCTTCCCTTCACCCTTCCCTCCCCCACTCTTAACTCCCTACATAACTCCAGCATATAGACTTATAAACAATCACCCCTATTTAGCAATAGAAAAGCTACACTCAAAATATTTTATCTCACAGATAGGCCAAGGAAAAATATGCTTCCACAGGATTTAGACAAGTCAATAAAAATGCCTCACACTGTTAATTATCTACCTAACCTTTAGATGGAGAAGCAGTGGTAGCGCTATGCTCTGCTCTAAAGCTGGTAAGCAGTTCCAACACTCTGAGGTCTCAGACTCCAGTATTTTTGCAAACAGTCACTTTAGAAACTGGGCTGTAAGTTTATTTAGCTGCTTTCTCATGTCTGTAAACAGACAAGCAGAAGGACTGCAGCAGCTAATGGTTATTATGTTCATCCATTAATCTGTTGTTTATTTTTTCTATTACTAATCAGATATAAAAACGGCTCATTAAATATTTTAGACAGAATTTCAACCAGATGAAGTTAAAACATTTGAGGAATTCTGGACAGGACCTATTAAAATTGGAGAACACCCCTCCGCTCGTCCCTCAGTGAAGTCTAGAAGCACAAGATCTATATCCAGCCCTTCAGTAAAGATGCTGCTACATGGCTGCACATCTTATTTTGGCATTTGACCAATTAGATGAGCCCCTGAAAGATTTATTACCTACTGGAAATTAAGTTGAAACAAATGAAGAGGACAAAAAGGTAAAAAGCTCATTGAAAAGTTAAAAAGTTAATAACTCTAGTTAACAATTATATGTAGGTTTATAAACAAAAAAATGTAAGTTCCAGTATCAGCATTAATGCCTCTAAGGTTATATTGG